TGAGTAAATATTATTTCAGTCTTATCTTGACCATCAAACAATCATTTACATACATTATTACATCCTATTATTTCTCTTGATAAAAACCTTTGCAATATCACTGGTATTAATTTTTTTAAAATAATTAAGAATCAAATTTATAAATTATTCAATATAAATTATTTTTGACATAAATTTGTTGTTAAGATAAAAAACAGGTGATTTAAGCAATCGTAAGACTGAGCCAATTAAAAAAAAAGCATATAAATAATGCTAACCTTTTTTCCTATTCATATAATGTTGCTCTATATTTTATGTAAGTGATTTTAAATTGAATCAATTTATCTTGAATTCCATGGTGAATAAAAATTAAATATATGCTTAAATGCATTAAATTTGAGGGTGTCTTTTGAATGAAGATGCCCTCAAATTTAATGCAAATGTTTGTCAATGCTCACATTGTATGTGCTTTTTTAATTTTTAGACTTTGTTAGTTGAATATACTGAGTCAATCTGCAATATTAATTTCAAAAATTTAGATTTTTTTTTATATCCCACCATAGTCAAACTATTACATTTTTAAAAATTATACTTAATTAGAGAAAAATATTTTTTATTAGTTATACTTTAAATGTTTTAAATCGCACCTGTTTAAAGTTTCTTCAATAAAAATTTCTTATTATATAATCAATGTTCATTTGATATTTATTTTTCTTACAATTTTTGTTTTTTTAGAACCCACAGGATTTATTGTCCTTCTCTCCTGCAAAAAAAAAAAAGCACATATTTTAAATTTTAAAAAATCCTTATAAAATTTCAAACAACAAACCAGACAGGCACAATTTATGGTCCGTAAGTAATTCTCTAATAAACAATAATTTTTAGTAACTCATTAAGCAAATTATAATTATTTTAAAAAATATGTATAGTTTTTGAGAGACAGGATGATCCTTAAAACATGTGATATGAAATCCCCAGCATTCAATTTATTTTTTAAATTTTAATTTATTATGGCTAAACAAAAATAATACAAACAAGCCTTTTAGATATCTCAAGCCCAGAATCTGCTGATATCTCTTCTTCATGCGATTTTAGTATCAAACATCAATTTTCATATTTTTACCTGATTTAAAAGTTGCGCATTGCGATTCTTATTCACACGATTTAAATATCATTCATTGCGATTCTTATTTACAAGATTATACAATTCAATATTGTGATTTGTATTTATGCTTTGCTTTTATAAAACCCTAAGTAGCGATTCGTATTCACGCGAGTTTATAAATCCAATGTTGTGTTCGTTTATGCAGTTGTAATATCAAACATCAATTTTCTTACATATACGTGATTCTTATTTACAAGATTATACAATTCAATATTGTGATTTGTATTTATGCTTTGCTTTTATAAAACCCTATGTAGCGATTCGTATTCACGCGAGTTTATAAATCCAATGTTGTGTTCGTTTATGCAGTTGTAATATCAGACATCAATTTTCTTATATATACGTGATTCATGAACTAGACATTGGTATTCGTATTCCTGCTATTTAAAAATTATGCATCGTGATTCCTATTTACGCGATCTAAAAATTGTGCATCATGATTTGTATTTTTGCATTTTTTTAAATTCGATATAGAGTTTCATATTCACGTGATTTAAAAGCCACGTATATTTTTTATTTAAATTTAAACATAATTTGTGAAAAATTATATTAAAAAATCAACACAAAAACATGGATAAAAATATAGATTTATCGTTTCTTAAGCAATAGGAAAATATTATGAAAAAGTATTTTGTGAAACTACCGTTTTTCCTAAAGTTGAATTTGTGAAGGTACCGCTAAACGGTAGTAAATTCGACCTGAACAGACCCCTGATAATGTTTTAATTTTAGTTTCTCACGGGCCGCTACCCGGAAGTTGTCAAGACTTTGCGATTACTCTGCTGCAAATTACACTACAAAAGTCTTTCTTTTTACTATAATTAATGTTTTTCCTAACCTTGGATAAAGCGCATCGAATTAAAAATTTTATGTAACTGCCATGTGTTAATTTATTTAGATATATAGATGGGCTTATATAAAAAAAAGTAGTTCATAAAGCCAAGATAAAAAAAAAAACATACATATTGCACTATTAAAGACATTATTGCAATATAAAACTAATTTAAGCTTACAATGAGATTCAAGCTCTCAACTTTTATGCATCACAA